GCTGAGATTCAAGCAGCCAGGACCTCCACCACTGAGGGAACGAGAAGGTCCTTACCGGTTTGGCCTCCCTCAACTGGACCGATACCTACGAAAGCAGGTGGAAGATGACACGGTCTTGTTTTTGAGGCAGCTGTATCTTCATCATCGAGCTGCGCTAGCCCGAGGCCCGAAGGTGACCCTGGCAGCGCTGGAGCAGCCTGAGGACCCGGAGGAGTATCTCAAGGCCGAGGAGAAAGAGGCCCACCGGTACCCGTCCTACTGGAGCTGGCCAGAGTGGAGAGCGGTCAGAGATCGCTGGGGTCTGATAGAGGTCAGTTTCGACCAAGGACCCATGGGACACTCGAGAAGAAAACCCACGAGATTGGGAACTAATATCCCCAGGCTGGCCGAGCTGCAGGACATCCGAGGACACGGAAGAGGAGGAGATACTGCCCTGGCGGAGAACCTGACGGAGAGGATCAAGCAGAGCCGAGACTGGTCAGCCTGGGCGCCTGGATTGAAGCAGGCACTGGCGGTCGCCATTCGAGAAGCGCTGAACTCACCCGTGCACCAGGTGAAGCGGATGGACCTTGAGGCATGGAAGAGACACCTTCTGAACGGGCATCTGCCCTACAACAGAGAATGCAAGTCCTGCGTCATCGCTGCATCACGCGGCAGGGCTCACAAGAGGATCCCACATGCCGAAGCGTACACGCTATCGATAGATACTGCAGGGCCGTTCATGCTGGCAGATGACCAACTTGGAAAGGGCCGCTTCGTGCTGGTGGGGGTATATCTTGCTCCAGTGACCAGGAGTGGACAGTCCATCATTCCGATCCATGAGGAGGACGAGTTGCCTGGAGCAGAAGGAGATGGACCAGAGTTGACTGTGGTTGAGGAGGAGCAGAGGGATCAGGACCGGGGAGAACAATGGCCTGGCTTGGATGATGAGAAGGAATGGGCGTCGCTGGTGGAACAAGAACGGGACTTCCAGGTCAAGCAGGTGACGTTGGCGGAGGTCATGGAGAATCGAGGGGCGTCGGCGGTCTTGGAGGCAGTGGGACGAATGGTGGCCAAGCTGAACTTCTTGGGCCTCCCTCTCAAGCGGCTTCATTCAGACCGGGCTGGCGAGTATCAGAGCAAGATCTTCGACAGGTGGGTCCGAGACAGAGGTCTGTGCCGCACTTTTACAGATGGCGACAACTTCAAGGGCAACGGCCGAGCGGAGGGAGCAGTGGCACAGCTCAAACGAGGTGCCAGAACCCTCCTCGTGGCTGCAGGCCTGGATGAGAGCTATTGGTGTCACGCCACTCGACACTGGGCTGACACTCGACTCCGAAGTCAACTGGAGTCAATGGGGTGGAAGCGTCGACAGCTGGCGACCTTTGGGCAGGTGGTCTGGGCCAAAAGGAAGCTCTACAGCGACCGCCAGAAGTACTTGTCTACCACCAGGACACAGGTGAGAGTGCTGTGCCCAGCGGTCACGATGTCTATGACCTCGCCGGGATACTTTGTGGAGGAGCTCGCCACCGGAAAGTTGTTCCACACGGCCGACATCATGCCAGAAGATGTGGCGCTGCCAGACAGAGAGGCGGGTCTGATTCATGAGGTCGATGACCGAGAGGAGAGTCAGCAGCCGCGAAAGAGACCGGGGAGAACTCGAGGGAAGGTCAAACTACTCCAGATCGAGAAGGAGATGGAGTCTGTAGATTGGGGGGAGATACAACATCGGGGAGCGAGGATGCTGTCTCGAGAGCTTCAACTCCTGGAGGAGGACTCCGGAGAAGTTAGGAATGAGAGGTTTCTGAAGGCTCTCACGATGGAGATTGAGGAGATCAGCCAAGAAGCTGTTCGAGCTGGTCGACAGGAAGAGAGAAACATGGTCGCCGAGATCGAGGAGAAGTCAGAGGAGGCCCCGGAGTTTCTGCAAACGCGGATGGTGAGTCTGACGGAAGTGAGGAAGAACATGGAAGAGTGGAAACCGTCCATGATCGAGGAGTACGTCGCATTGACCAATGAGTCAGAGGCGGTGGAAGCCATCGGGAAGGAGGAGATGGACCGGTTGAAAGAGGAGGCGAGGGCGCAGGGCAGAGACTTTGACCTGGTGCCCGCGAAGGCCATCTTCAGCCGAAAAGCAGGCACTGGTCGACACAAATGTCGTGGCGTAGCGTGTGGGAATTTCATGCAGGCCAAGAGCTCTGAGTCCACGTTCGCTTCCGGTGCCAGTGGAATTGAGGTGAGGATGCTGATCAAGATGGCAGCGATCAACAAGTGGGCTATGAGCACCCTCGACGTCAAGACTGCGTTCCTCAACGCCCCTGCAGCTCATGACCGTGGAGTGGTAGTAGTCCAACCACCAAGGATCTTTCAGGAGGCTGGAGTACTTCGAGATCAAAAGGAGGTTTGGCTCGTCAAGAAAGCCCTTTACGGGTTAGTGACCTCTCCACGGGATTGGTGTGACCACCGAGATGCCAAGATCAAGGAGTTCCGGTGGTCGAGAGAAGGGAGACCAGTGAGGGTGCATGCAACACCTCAAGCGGACATCTGGCTGGTACAGGAGATGGAGGGTCAAGACGACTGGACAACCAAAGGAGCACTGGCTACGTACGTGGATGACGTACTGATGGTGGGGGAAGAAGAGATCATCCAGGGGTTCATCGACCAAGTCAGGATGCATTGGAAGATTGGTGAACCGGAGTGGGTGAAGGAAGGTCGAGAACCAGTGCGTTTTTTGGGAATGGAGATCGAGAAGAAGGGCCAGGACTTCGCCATCCACCAGAGGGCGTACTTGGAGAACCTGTTCATGGAGTATGACGAACAGGGGAAGGCATCTCTGAGCCAGATTAAGACCCCGGAGGAGGAAGAGAACCCACAGATGTCTGAGGTGACACAGGCCCAGAAGGAGACCGGTGAACTCTTGTGGGTGGCGGGGAGAACGAGACCAGACGTCAGCCTCGCCGTGAACATCATGTGCCAGTGGGCCACGAAGAGACCAAAGGCAGTGATGGCCATCGGAAGGCAGGTGAGGGCCTACCTTCGGCAAACCAGGGGAGAGGCATTGTGCATTTCTGGCGCGGTCGAGACTGACGAGGGGATGGAGACTGGGTTGAGCCGGGTTGAGGTGTACTCAGATGCCTCGTATGCGTCATCGGACATGAAGAGCATGACGGGCATCGTGGTTTGCGTGGGAGGGACGCCGATTGCTTGGCATACGGCCCGGCAAGCGTTCATCACCCTGTCGACGGCGGAGGCCGAACTGATGTCGCTGCTGGAGAGCCTGATTTGCGGAAGGTCAGCGGGAGCGCTGATGGAGGCAGTGCTTGGGAAGAAGATCCAGGTCAAGCTGCACTCCGACTCAACAGCAGCTATCGCCATCGCAGCTGGGACTACATCGTCGTGGAGAACGAGACACTTGAGGATCAGAGCAGCAGGCTTGACCGAGGCCCTGAGGGTGAAGGAGGTGTCTCTAGAACACGTGGCTGGGACAGAGCTGGTGGCGGACGGCATGACGAAGCAGCTGACTGGACAACCTCTCCTGAACTTCAAGAAGGCATTGGGGTTGAGAGAGAGTGAGGAGGGGACGAAGAACATCGAAGTGAAGAAGATAGACCTGAGTGGGAGCTCTCCGGACCCGAGATTCCTGAAGGTGATCGGGCTGATGATAGTGGTTGCAAGTATGGTCACCAGGGCCGAAGCTTCCGAGACGGTCAAGGAGGAGGGGAACAGTGAGTGGTGGATCTTGGTTTTGATCACGGCCGCGATTGCCATCTTGGGCGACATCCTCTTCAGGGTCGGAACGGCGGGAGTACAGAGGTGGTTCAAGCCGAAGGAGGAGCTGAAGGTGAAATTGTTGTCGCCAGATGCCATTCTTCCGACTAGAGGATCAGAGCAGGCCGCTGGGTTGGATCTCTACTCCACCATCGAGACCATGGTACAGCCTGGAGACAGCGTGCTGATCAAGACTGGGATCGCGGTGGAACTTCCGAGGGGTAGCTATGGACGAGTGGCACCGCGGTCGTCGTTGGCAATTCGAGGCATTGAGACTGGAGCTGGAGTGATCGACAGGGACTTCAGGGGGGAAGTCAAAGTGCTGTTGAGAAACCACTCGGATGTGGACCTACGGATCTACAAAGGAGATCGCATCGCCCAGCTGGTCATTGAGAAGATCCTGGAGTTGGAGGTGAACTGTGTGGAGGAGTTGACCACGACGGCACGAGGGTCGCGGGGATTCGGCTACTCAGCTCACGAAGAACTTTACCCCTGGGCAGAGCCAGACGATCCAACATACCACCACCAGGAGATGGGAACCCGAAATCCGGTGAACAGAATCTCGGTGAGAGCGATGAGGGTCGACTTGAGGCCGGAAGAGTCACGAAGGACATCCACTGGGCAGCCATCGGAGTCACAGGGGATGGATGTTCCAGAGGAACCACCTGCTGTCCGACCTGAACCAGCTGGACGCCGTCAAGTACCCGATCCAGATGTATGGCATCGTGGGGAATACGACTATGAGGCGGAGAGAAACAGGAGGGCGCAACTGGGGTTGAGACCGTCAGCCTGGGACCGCATGATGCAGAGAAGGGGCCCGAGAAGGAACTTTGGTGGAACCTGGGTTAGGGTGGACTCGGAGGGCAACCACATCGTCTACAGCGAGCCTGGAATGGAGCGAAGGGCGCAGGCG